CGATAACTCTCTTGTACTCTGAAACAGTCTATTGGTGGGTGTTTCAGTTACATAAAAAACGAACCTTTTTATACTGTAACAATTCTTGTAGGAAGTCGGCATTCCGAAACCCAAGTTCAAGGTGTCTCCTTCGTGCCAAAGAACTGCATGGCTGTTGGGTGAACAGTCGTTAACGAAGGCAGTCAGGTCGTTGTAGGGGCGACGCCTGCTGGTGGATGTAATGTCCTAAGTCCCTTTCCCAGCTAATAGTGAGGGTACTGCTGGGGTGACCATTTGTTAACCCCTCACATAATGCTTCAGGTCACAGTGGACGCTAGGCACGGCCACTTTTTTTTTTTTTTTTTTAAAGCCGTGGCAGTTCTGCCAGGCGGTGGCCGTTGCATTTTTGCTCCATTTGTAGACTGGAAGGATATTGTTTCGTCACCCAGCTTCTGAGTTGAGTGCATGGTGTGACACTGTGAGCTACGAGTGTTTTTCGTTGGCACAGGAGCGGAGCAACAATGGGGTGACCCGTTTGCTATGATGCTGAAACTAGGATTACCAGATTACCAGATTACTGTAACAATTCAACAAATACCCTGGATCGTATTTCCCTGTGTTGAAAGATAAGCTTATTTCCACTCATAGTGACAACGTATAACATATAAATCTGATACATAATCAGGTAATCTCAATTTCAATCTCATCGCACACGGGTTACCCAATAGTATCTCATTTACTGAGCCAAAGGTTATAACTGCTGTAATAAGCTGTTACTCGTCCTCATGTGGAATGCCATTTTTCGTTATTTGAAGCCCCACCCTGGCTTTTGTCGAGGGCCCTGAATATAGCTGGGCCACATATATGGCACAACGGCTGAAAGGGGTTTATGGGACCTATCCACGGGTGATGCTCATTCGCATTGTGGCACTTTGTGTCACGGGGTGTTTATCACTAGTGTGATGTCCTAGTGGGGTACAAAAAGAGAGAGAGAGTGAGAGAGAGAGAGAGAGAGAGAGAGAGAGAGAGAGAGAGAGAGAGAGAGAGAGAGTGAGAGAGTCAACAGAAACTACACATAATGTCTATCACTGTTCCTTGAGAAAGAATAATCACAAGCTGCAGTCTTAGCAAATCCAACAGTATACATGCGCATCAATTAAACAAGACAGCTGTCAGAAGTGCTAACACAAACAGTCGGACACCAGAAATTCTGTTTTTTTAATACATAAATCTGCATGAAGAAATGACCCTTGTTCCCAAGTGGACCAGCACTAAATGGGTACTCAGGTACTTCCTGGGAAGTAAAATCGGCCGTGTGAGTTGACCACATCGCCCTAACCCCGAGTTCCGATTGTTCTATGAAACATAGATTAAGCCATAGAAGAACCTATGGTATAGGTTCTTGCTTCTTTCCCATGGCAACTTATCGATGTGAGTCATGGAATCTCACTCAGTCTTGAAGAAGACAATTTGAGTTTTTCAATTGAAATGTTACAGACACATTCTTAGAATAACATGTACCAAGAAGAGGAAAAACGTAGACATTCTGCATAAACTGAACTTCAAGGAGAATTGGCTCGCTCGTACACAGCATCCTCTCCCAAAACCTAACATATTTTTAACGTATCAAGCGCCTCGGTGGTCTGCATCAAACGGGGATGGAGGGTCTAGTTTCTAGTAAAAGAGACAGGGGCTGACCTTCGCGAAGGTGGATACAAGATATGTAAGATGTATTGGCTATAAAAGTATAGTTCCATTTTCGCTCATTTCTTCCCATTGGTTTGATTCTAATGTTGTTATTGTTCATTTATTATTCTGCAACACGATATGAATTGTGCTACAATAGACCACCAGGTTGGCTCTCTAACATAACCTACACAAAACACCTGGCACATAGTTTGTATTTATTGTAATCCAATCAAGATTACGGCCAGTATGTTAATATGGATTGGTTTCATCTTGATTAGTTTCCTAAACTCGCTGAAGTTATCACTAAATCGTCGTCCATATGTGGCAATAGTCAGAATTTGCATATTATAGTGCGTTCAAAAAGTTCTGCCGAACTTCAAAATATATGTTACTCAGTAATCGTTCAGTGTACGTTTTGGAAATTTGTAATGCAGCCTGTTAATAATAATGTCCTTGTGAGAATTTTCTTTTTTTTAAAAAATTTAAGCAAACATTTAGTTTTCATTGTGCCTATTTTTGCGGGACATGACAAAACAGACGCAAATTCAAAGCAAACACTCGGCATGCTGTCAGCCTCCTGACTAAATTGAGCGACGGGAGCTTTTCAAAACATCAGGATGCACATGTGTCACAGACGCTTCACTCTCAGTTGGTCATCACCTTCATGTCGATCATGAGTTGCGGATTTGTCATTGAATGAGGAATAGGCTACCGAAATAATGACCACGGATCCCTGCACATGTGAAACACACACGCGTGTTAATTATTGTATATTCTATTTTTCAGGAGTTTAGTTAGTTGCGTATCCTTTACAGAACGTTGCAGAACCAACCCCAACATTTTCTGACTGTTATGGTATTTCTAGGTAAGTTTACGTCGAGTATTTTACCATTGTTACTGAACGGTCAACTCTCGGTACCACTGCCGAAACCAACGCAAGACACACCATCCACAGCTGGGATCGAACCCGTGTAATGAAATATAGGCAGAAAGGGGTTAAATGAACAAGCATACATTTCAGACCACCACACGGCGTACTAATCCATCACTGTGTGAAATGACAGAAATGGGTGATTAGAAAGCCATGGCCTAGCCAGCTATGCCAGAACACAACGCCGCATTACATCTGACAGTAAGGGATGAAACATTCGACGAGTGCCCGTGAGCTGTGACCAGCGGAAGAGATACGTTCATCCAAACGTGACCACAAGGACAGGTGACAGACTGATTAGATGGTACGCCAGGAAGAGCGGGAAAAGCGGGGGAATAAAGTCAAGGCCAGGGGCTTGAGAAGTGAGTTAGCCCCGGATTATTAGGACCGTCCAAACAACTAGCGCTGTACTTCGTTAGAAGGTATATGTTTAAACTTTGAGTTTAGCTAAACCAGTGAGTTAGCCCCGGGACCGCTTGATAGGACAGGTTAGGGCTGAGCCGCTGGAAAGACCGGTTAGGAGGGAAAACTAGTGCTTTACTTCGTTTAGAAGGTATAAGGTTAAACTTGGAGTTTAGCCATAACAGTGTTAAGGAACTCGTAGAGGCCTACGAATAGCCAAGTAATAAGGAGTGTTCATATACTATACTATTGCTTATTGAATTAATGAAGTCTGTGTGACGAGAATATTGTAAATAAACCAGCTCTTGTGTAATTGATTACATCACTGGCCTTGTTCTTGAGTATGATTGAAGAGAGCTACGAACTATATTCATTCAACTTGGCCGACTTAGGCACATCTATTTCTTGGGGGATGTATAGGCACGACTGTGCCACACCCGTACCCCGGCATGACAAGGCACGTTCGCCACGCCTAAGCCACAGACGCCGACTTTTTAGGAATAAAACCATTATAAGTCAAACACAGATCGATACAATTCGCCGCTTTAGGAAAACGGCAGCATCTGTGCAGATATATAGGGAAATCCTAAGGACATCTTATGGGAAGTGCTTTAAAATACAACCATCCTTAACACCAAAAAAACCCCCCCCCCCCCCCACCCCCTTTAAAAAATTATTTTACATTCGAGCGGAGCTAATATATTTTTCTTTATGTTCAATGTTAGAGATAATAAATTAAATGTTAAGTCTGCAGAGTCAGTCAAGAAAATGGCTAAATGTTTTTCAAATGTTTCATGTGGATAATCAGCGAGAAGAAGAAACATAAATACTCCAGGCGGAGACGTGGTTTCTTAAAAGTATTATTTATAATAGACAAAGAAACATATATTGATTGGCACTCAAAGAAAGAAGCAGAATGACAGAAGAACACACTAGACAACATAAAAATTGAAAGCCACGGTTACCATGCTGTAAATCGAACCTATCACATTGATATTTGGACATTACCAGTTGCTGGTGATTGTTTCTTTCTCTGTTTAACACTTTGTCTTGTGGTGGTGTTTGTCTCCAAGTTCTTGTTAACAGTGTTTGGGATATTTGCTTTGTTGTCCTGCTTTTAATTACATTTTTGTTTTGTTTTGTTGGATGGGGTCGTAAATGGTCTTAATATATACTCTTGGAGAAAAAAAAAGGGAGGGAGGTCAACTGAAACGGTTTAGAAACCACTAGATTAGATAAATTAGAGGTAAATGGTCATTTTAGGGGAAGATATTGTACCCAGAAACTTTGCTTCTGTTGGCACCATTGATGCAATATGAGCAATGAGAAGGCAAATATAGTAATGTATAGATAGTTAAGCCATATGAATGGGTGAGACAAGAACATTGACCTGATCCGCGATTCTGATGATCGTATCGGATGCAAATACCTGATGATAAAATGATGATCCTTCGTTCTCAGTTAGGCATGAGTTAGTATCCAGCATATGTTTATTTAAAAGCTCAATATCTATTTATTTACATTATTCATATGACTTCCCTGTTTTAAGACACCTTCTCTGTTTGTTTCTTTTGACAATATATAACGGATGTCTCTGTTTTCTCATACAGGATATCTTTGAATCCATGTTGACTCGTGTCACAAATTTAGTCCTGTCAGTTAGGCTTTGGTAACAGTGTGTGTTATATTTACTATTCTGTTGATAACGAGTTAGTGGAAAACGTTCCACTGTACTAGTTTGTGCTTTTTCATTCCTGGTGTTGATATTCTTTGTCAAATTTGTCGCTGTAGGTATTAGATTATCGATCAAAGTCTAGGTTTACATATCCAGTACATATTACATCATTAATCCTGTAATCTTATCTTGCACCGCAAGGAAATACAAGACGGGCCTAGCTACATCACTGATCCTTTAAAATGGCAGTCATTTGTGGCAATCCGCACACACACACACACACGGTAAACTATTGAAACGCTTTCTAGAGTTACCATTCTCAAGATGAAGATCACGTCTGCTGTATTTGCGCTGGTGGCTTTTCTCGTCGTCGCCCACGCCAGGGGACTTGAAACGGTGAGTGGGTTACTTCTAGATCTCGCAAATACAACACAAGAAAGTCAGAGACTTTTGCCAGGAACATTCTCAGAATACCTTCACATTCACAGATTCTAGAAAATACAAGTCACAGACTTTTGAAAGGAACATTCTCAGAATACCTTCAAGTTTACAGATTCTAGAAAATACAAGTCACACATAAAATACACATGTAGTTGATTTAATAAATGGATGAATGAAGGAATTATGAGAGAGCCAATAAATGCTTTAATAAATAAAGAAATGAAGAAATGAGCAAATGTTTATATAAATAAATGATTGATTGAATGAATGAATTAGGAATTACCGTCATTTCCAGTTTCCTACACGGTAAAACTAAAATTTGCAGTATGTATAATCTCAAAGTCCAGATTAGATGGCAGGCATCGCTTCAGAGGTAGTTAGCGACATTTCGATATTTTCTCCATGTCATAAAAAAAAAAAAAAAACAAACAACGCAGTAATACAGTCACTTCCTTGTGAGATGCAATTATTCGTTATTTAAAGCCCTACGCTGGCTTTTGCCAGGGGCCGCAAAATAGCCCGACCATAAATATGGTCTAATGGCTGAACGCGGTTTCTGGGACCTCTCCATGGTGATCTTCATCCCAATGGTGGCACTTTGTGTCATCGGGTGTTATTGCCTGTGTGATGTATTAGTGGGGTAAAAATCTACTACTACTATTAATTTCATATCGGTGTACAGGGAAACGAGCAGGGAGATAGACAGGCCGGTTATGCGCCACTTGGTGGTGAACTGATGTATAACAAGACAGATGTTGTCAGGACCCTTTGGGAGAGAGTGAAAAGTACGGAGTTACAAACAGATCATAACGGTCTGAGGAGAATGCCGCTACAAAGAGTTACCAGGCGATCAGGCCGACGGTGAACACTCAAGGAAAAGACGAGACAGAAATACAATCAGACAGTTACTGGCGCCATCGGAATTGGAACTCTTCGCTTGGTGCTGAAAAATAGGACGGAGCGCTTATGGCAGTGGTCCTAGTGCTATGAAGTCAATTCCTAGTTCAACAGTGAAACCCAATCCTTACAGGCATATGGTGCTTTTGGTATTCTTCTCTTTCCCTACTGTACATATTGTGGAAAGTTTTACTTTGATATTGTTCCAGTACATCAATGTCACCGGCATATTCGTTTTAACAGATCTAATCTATTTCTGTGCAGAGGTTGAGGTCACGCTGCTAGGTCATCTGTGCTCCGTCTTCAAAGGAACCGTTGATTCTACCACGGCCTGGTCACTACCACGGCCTGGTCACTACCACGGCCTGGTCACTACCACGGCCTGGTCACTACCACGGCCTGGTCACTACCACGGCCTGGTCACTACCACGGCCTGGTCACTACCACGGCCTGGTCACTACCACGGCCTGGTCACTACTCATGGCACTTACGCATTCAAAACACAATAAAAACCGATAACAGAACGCTGCTAATCTTTGGTGTGTGCCAAATGTTGGGGCGGGTATCGGGAGGAAAAGAATAACACAATCAGAAGAAGGAGATAATAAAATCTATCTATCTATCTATCTATCTATCTATTTATCTATCTATCTATCTATCTATCTATCTATCTATCTATCTATCTATCTATCTATCTATCTATCTATCTATCTATCTATCTATCTATCTATCTATCTATCTATCTATCTATCTATCTATCTATCTATCTATCTATCTATCTATCTATCTATCTATTATCTATCTATCTATCTATCTATCTATCTATCTATCTATCTATCTATCTATCCATCCATCCATCCATCCATCCATCCATCCATCCATCCATCCATCCAGCTCCTCATCTATCTATCTATCTATCTAGCTATCTATCTATCTATCTATCTATCGGATCTATCTATCTATCTATCTATCTATCTATCTATCTATCTCTATCTATCTATCTATCTATCGAGAGCTATCTATCCTATTCTATCATCTATCTATCTATCTATCTATCTATCTATTATCTATCTATCTATCTATCTATCTATCTATCTATCTATCTATCTATCTATCTATCTATCTATCTATCTATCTATCTATCTATCCTATCTATCTCTATCTATCTATCTATAGCTATCTATCTATCTATCTGTCTGTATATCTATCTATCTATCTATAGCTATCTATCTATATATCTATCTATCTATCTATCTATCTATCTATCTATCTACATCTATCTATCTATCTATCTATCTATCTATCTATCTATCTATCTATCTATCTATCTATGCTATCTATCTATCTATCTATCTATCTATCTGTCTGTCTGTATATCTACTAGCTATCTATCTATCTAGCTATCTATCGATCTATCTATCATATCTATCTATCTATCTATCTATCTATCTATCTATCTATCTATCTATCTATTTATCTATCTATTATCTATTATATCTATCTATCTAGCTATCTATCGATCTATCTCTCTATCTCTCTCTCTCTATCTTCTTTCTCTCTAGCTCTTCTATCTCTCTATCTCGCGATCTATCGATCTATCTATCTATCGATCTATCGGATCTATCTATCTATATCTATCTATCTATCTATCTATCTATCTATCTATCTAATCTATCTATCTATCTATCTATCTATCTATCTGAAAAAGTTACATCAGGACGGTTGTGTTCGAGCTAGGTCTACCTTTCTTGGAATGATTGATCTGTCAGCTACATTCCTACAATGTGGATTTATATATGCCTGTAATGGTTGTTTTTCCGTTCAGCCAGTGAAAGTGGTTTTAAATACTTGTTCTTCTTCGCGTTCACCAGCTGTAAACTCTGGCGGAAAGTTTTGGTTGTTTATCCACTGCAGGACTGCAGTCCTGTTCCAGAACCTGAGTGTTGCGTGTGCATCCGTTCTACAGATCTGACTCATTTGTATGCAGACTGCTGGTTCCTTGCCTCTCAAGCAGATGCACTCCGACTTCGAAGGAAGCTCCCAATTAGTCGACTCTTACGACATGCTTTTGGGTCGGCAGTGCGTCTATTCTGGTTTTCCCTATAATAGGGCCCCTGAACCCACACGGGGAAGGTTTTAAATTAACTTATTCGCTTAATTT